CACTTTAATCCACGACTGTTTGTGGGACACTGCTGTGCACAATTGGCTGCCTCATTTTGCCCACAAATATACAGTCAATTCACTTTTGTGAAGCACTTTGGGACGTCTAGAAGACGTGAAAAGCACTATATCACATGCAAGGATTATTATTATTATCCTTTTGAGAAGGAACACTAATGACAAAATGTTCCCCATTTCTCAGATGGTTGACTTCATAGATCTCAGAGCACTTCCCGGCTAGACCTATTCCAATGCCTTCCTTGCTGGACTCCCCAGCTCCACCATACACAAATTCAACTAATTCAAAACTCCGCCGCCCGGATACTTACCCGCACAAATCTCCATAACCCCATCACACCAGTCCTTGCCAGGCTCCACTGGATCCCAATCACTGAACAGATTGATTTCAAGATCCTCTCACTCGTTTTTAGATCCCTTCATGCCCTCGCACCTCTTTACTTCTCCGATCTGCTTATAACCCACTCCACTTGTTGCTTCTGCTCCGCTGGCTCCAGCCTCCTGTTTCTCCCTCGACCCCTCAGCTCTACCATCGGTGGCTGTGCCTGCAGTCACTACGCCCCGATACTGTGAAACTCTCTCTCAAATCCTTCCCTCTTGATTGTGCTTACGGTCTCCTCCCCTCTCCCTCTCCCCCTGGCTTGGGGTCAGACTCCGCCACTGTTGAGCGCTATATAAATGCAAGTTGTTGTTGTGTTAACCACTGTTGGCAACAGCTTTTACCTCTGCAGGTATTTTCCACAGCTGACAGTAAACCTTCAGCAATAACCTAGCAATTTAATATCGTAAACAAAGTAGCAGAAAAGCAAGGATAGGAGATATAGAGACTCACTAGACAGTACAGGTTAAGATTCATTTTAAGTATTAAACAGCAGTGATAATATACAGGAAACCTGTCTCTCTATTTGCTCTTATTATCGGTGTTTTCAAAATACTGAAAATCTCAAGTCTTGGGCATAATAGAGACTACCTATTGAGTTCCTTGGCTCTTCCAATTTTCTTCCCACGCTCTCTCCAATCCACTATCTGTCGCCTAACCTTCAGGTTCTATGCCACTACTCTCTGGAATTCTCTCCCAAAATTATTTTGCCTACGTCTGATCCACTTGCTTCCAAAACCCTCTTAAAAACGTAACTGTCCCTTTGATCAGCACATTTAAAGGCTCCGTCCTTTTCTACGCATCATTGTTGTGAAGTGGGTTGAGACATCCTTTCTATTTGGCACTACAAAAGATGCTGTTGATACATGATGCGATACATGCTACTTGCAGATAGATACATTGAGGGTCGGATGATTTTTTTAAATAAAATAATTAAAAAGGACACAACTTTACTTTACAAACGTTATAACTAACAGTTTAATGTAAATTTTTAATTTCTAATTTCTAATGTTTGTGGAATACTGCTGTGCCCAATTGGCTGCCGCGTTTCGCCCACAAATATACGCTCAATTCACTTTACAATCTATTCTGTGAAGGGCTTTGAGACGTTGAAAAGATATGAAAAGTGCTATATCAAATGCAAGGATTATTATTATAGATCACGTGTAAATTTATTTTACTTTAATGCCTCATAATAAAATTATTATGGGAATATCTAAAACACATTGAGGTCTAATTTGCAATATTCAGAAAGGGGATTATAAATCATGAGTCCTACAGGTGCACAAGTTTACTTCTATGGACACCAAACAAAAGTGGCATTCAGCAGGAGATAATAATAATAATCCCTGCATTTGGTATAGCACCTTATTACGTTGTTGTGACATCTCAAAGTGCTTCACAGAATATATTGTAAAGTGAATTGACTATTTTGTGGACGAAAATAAAATATTAATGTCTTTGTAGAGCTCCAGAGTTCTATATACAAATCATTTGTGAATATTGTAACTTGTCAACTAAAACAATCTTTTTCTGATTCTATCCAATATTTTCACACATAAAATGCAAGTAATGGAGATGATGGTGAGGAATGAGTTTTATTTTTGCTAAAAAATACATCAGAATGTTTTAATCAGAGTGAAACAACAACAAAATTACATTTGTATAGCGCCTTTTATGTCGGGGGGATATCTCAAGGCGGTGGACAGACAGAGTTTCGGACGCAAGCTGGGGGTCAGCGTCGGGGAAGATGGAGGGCATGGGGGGGGAAGTAGGGAGATCGAAAGCACGGTTGAAAAGAGAGGGTCTTGAGATGGGTCTTAAAAGTGGCAGGGGAGGGGCGAGGCACAGGGACTCCGGGATGGAGTTCCAGAGGGTGGGGGCAGAGTGACAGAAGGCCCACCCGCCAATAGTGTGGCGAGCAAGGCGGGCGAAATGAAGCAGGCTGGAGCCCGCTGAGTGGAGGGAGCGAACAGGATGGTAGCGGGTTAGGTCGCAGAGGTAGGGGGGAGCAAGACCATGGAGGGCTTTGAAGGTGAGGACCAGGATCTTCAACTGTAGCCTCTGTGAGATGGGAAGCCAGTAGAGTCGGGTGAGGATGGAGGTGATAGGGTCGCGGAACCTAGTGCAGGAGAGGACATGGGCTGCAGAGTTCTGGATGATCTGCAGCCTGTGGAGGGAGGAGTTCAGCTTGCATACTCAAGCCTCGCAGTATGCATGTATAAAGTACCCATTAAAGTTTATATGATTGTATAGTCAAACTAGTAGGTTGATTAACACATTGTAAATGTTTATCCTATGGTGTTGCTTTCGTCGTGATAATATTAGAATGAGAAACTTACTAAAAATTAACAGATAATTCATGATTCAAGGTGGATTGTTTAACTAGTCTGATGGTGATCTGGGATTTCCTTGTAGTCTGATAGTCTCTGTATGTCGCTGAGTGCTTCCTGCTCTTCAAAATCATTAGTGTCTCAATGAAGGCAAGCTTCTTTTTCAAAGGTGGCAGATCCAACGTTTGCTCTAATCTCGATTCCTGAGACAGTACAGTAGTATGAATGGAGCAATTGAAGTAGCATACCTTTTGTATACAGCTCAAAATCTGCAACAGAAACCATGTGCAACATGCCCCTGTATTCATTTCTAATTTTAATAAAATGTTAATAAAAGTTCCTACTGACTTTCATTTGTAATTTTAATAAAATTTTAATAAAAGTTCCTACTGACTGCTAGGTAAACCGAGATGTGTTGAGGAAACTTGCACACCATTCCGCCCTGCCCGGGAATCAAACCCAGGTGTCTAGCCTGCCAGGCGAGTGCTCTGTCCACTGAGCTACAGGACTCCACATTTTCTCCCTTCTTCCTGACTCTTTATTAAGACATTGTACTTTGGGTGAACTATTAGATTAGATGAATAGGATCTATGATTTTTTTTGTACTAAATTAGTGTCTCAAATCCTGGGTGAAATGTGCCTGATACTGTTTCTATATTAGGGGTTTGTGTGAAGAAAATCTCCAGCACAAATCTGGTGGGGTGAATGGTCTGTTTCTGTGCTGAATCAAGTATGACCTGACTTCTCATTTCAAGCAGAATCCTACCAAACTGTGCATCTCTCACCAAAAACCCCACCCTTCCTTTGCACTGCTGATCATTGCTAAACTCTCTGCCCCTGTGCAAACTGCAAGATTGAACAACAAATGCGGAAGTGGCATTTGGGCTCTAAATGATGAACAGATAATAATCTGACACATATTGTGATTAATACTGCTGATGAAGAAGTTGGTTTGTGCCCAAAGTCCCTAAGTAGGAATCCGGTTGTTAGTCGATTGGTGGAGCGCTTTTCCGGGGGTAATAATTCCTTCAAAAAAATGAACTGGTCACTCAGTCCACGACTGTGTGCAATTGGCTGCCACATTTCGCCCACAAAACATACAGTCAATTCGCTATACATATTCTGTGAAGCATTTTGAGACATCTTGAAGACGTGATAAGGTGCTATGTCAAATGCGAGGATTATTATATATATATATATATGTATATAAAGGAGCCGTTTGCCTACAAAATACACAATCACTACTCTTTGGATGTCAGCCTAGCTCATTGGTAGCCCTCTCTCCGGAGTCGGGAGGTCGTGGGCTCAAACCTCACATTGGGATTGAGAATCCCATAGTCCTCCCGACGTGAAGGGCACTATACAAATGTAATGTTGTTGTCTAAGCTGACACTCCAATGCAGTGTTGGGGAGCGCGTTGCATTGGCAGAGGTGCCGTCCTTCGGACGAGACGTTAAGCCGAGATCCAGTGGACATTAAAGATTCCACAGCACTAATCGAAAAGAGAAGGGAGTTTTTCCCCCGGTCTCCTTGCCAACAATCCCCCCCCCCCACCGTCACCACCCCAAACAAAATCGGTCACTCCCTCCGCGGCTGTTTGCTTGACCGCACTTTGACCGCCAAATACAGAGTCAAGCCAAACCGCCTTACGGTCTCGACCCGCTTTCCTGCGCCGCGCACTTTCGAGACGCCTCGAACGACACGTCCTGCGAAAGGCCACCGCGTCGAACCCGAGCAACGACGGCGGTCTTCAGGGCGGAGCCCCGTCAGGACAGCCCCCCCCCCCCCCCCGGGTTCGAACCCACGGTCCGTCCGGGGGCCCCGGTCGCTTCCCGGTCTCGGGCGGGCGGGCGGGTCCCCCGAGTCGTTCCAGTCTCTCGGCCCCGTCAAGGAAGCCAAACAGTGGAGGAGCCTCTGGCGGGAGTTGGTGGCGGTGGTGGAGACAGACAAGAGAGCGAGACACCGATCGGAAGTGGAGTCTTGTGGTGGTTGCCACGGGTTACAGTGCGCGGTGACGCAAGCGCAGACCACTTCCCCTCCTCCCCTCCCCTCCCCTCCCCAACCACCCGCCCATCCTCCCCCTCCTCCTCCTCCTCCTCCTCACTCACGCGCGCACAAACGCGAGCGCGCGCGCGCGCACCAGGGAAAGCGCTTGGGGGGGGGGGTGGTTTGAAAAAAAACGGAAAATCATCCGGGTCTCGGGGCGCCGGGCGGTGCGCTCGCGCGCGGACGCGGACGCGAGTGCGCGCGCGTCCAACCGCCAGCGCTCCTGTGTGACCCCCCGCGCGGCGCTGGATGGACGCGCGAGACGTCGACGAGAGAGAAGGAGAGAGGACGACGCGGCGCGGCTCGACTCCACTCAACTAACCCTGTCCGCTCGCTCGCTTTCTGCACGTTTCGATGATTGATTTAAACTAGTGTTCACCTATAATGTGCGTGCACTAGTAGAGTGTAAACACACACACACACGTTATATATAAGTATATATATATAGAGAGAAAGAAAACTCTCGAGTTTCCCGTGTGTAGGAGAAGAGGAGGCGAACGGAGCTGCTGCTGCTCTGCCGTTTTTTTAAAAAAAAGGTGGAGGATTTGTCAGTGGCTCAAACTGCTTCAAACCAAAGGCGAGTGAGTTGAGTGTGAGTGTGAAAAGCGGGTTGGGCTGGGAGAAGAAAGCAGGAGGAGAAGGAGGAGGGAAAGTAGTAGGAGAAGAAGAAGAAGAAGAAGAAACGGCAGCAACGCAACGGCAACGGCAGCAGCAGCAGCAGCCGCCCTGTTAGAGGAGAGAAAATGGGGTGCACCTTGAGTACCGACGACAAGGCGGCCGTGGAGAGGTCTAAGATGATCGACAGAAACCTGCGGGAGGACGGCGAGAAAGCGGCCAGAGAAGTCAAACTGCTGCTGTTGGGTAAGTGAGTGAAGCCCGAGGACTCACTGACTGACTGACTGACCCAAATTTTGGAAGGTGGAGTTGGGGGGGTGGGAGATAGAGACAGACAGACAGAGAGAGAGAGATAAAATGGCTCTTTAACCTCCTCTCCGTGCCTTGCACCCTTTCCCTCTCCTCCCTCCCTCCCTCTCCTCCTCCCCTGAGTTACCGTCGTGCCAACGGTTCAGGCTCTTTTTTTTCCCACAAACACTCACACACACACACACACACAGGAGTTTATTTTTATGGGTAAAATATTTTTTTCCCCCCCAAAAAAGCTTTGTCCGGGTTCGGGTTGGGTTCACCGGATTGCAGAGAAGTTGCAACACATCTTTTGCAAAACGTAGATTTTTTTTTTGGAGGTGAGAGAAAAAAAAAGGAAATGCCTCTCTAGTGTCTTTTGTAAAGGACTTTTTTTTTCCCCCCCCAAAAAAAAATCCTTTCAAATTTTCCTTCACCGAGGATTGCAATTCAAGACAGTTCGCGAAGTGGATTTGTGTGGGGTTTTTTTTCTCTCTCGGTCCTACGTGGATTTGCGTCTCGACACCAAGAAGATGCTGTCTTGTCGTTGACCAGAAACCAGTTCCTGCAGACATCTTAAACGTTGCTCCAGATTGTAAATGCCGGTTTGATTAAAACCGCAGTGAGCGAAGTATTTGGGTTACAGAGGGCGTATTTTTTGTTCCAGCAGAAGTCGCAAACGCACGAAGCTGCAGCACCGCACTTTGGGCGATATTTAATTGTCACTGAGTTGAGTCCTGCCACTGGATGGGTGGGTGATCTTTCTACCCTATATAATCGCAACGAAATGCCCTTTTCCAATTGGCCCTTGTTAAAAAAAAACTTTAGGTTTCTGGGGGTGGGGGGGTGGGGGCGAAATAAGTTATTTTCAAGCTGGTTAGTTGAAACTTCAATTGAAGTGCAATGCATTGAGTTGAAGTAAGCGAGGTAGCACAGATAATCTTTTTTTGTTTTTCATTTGAACGTTTAGACAGTTTGTTAACCAGTTCGCAAGTAACCAACATTGTTACTAAAAAAGTAATCGTTGTTTTCAGAGCCTTGGAGTAATCTCAATGACTTTAGTACTGTACGACCTATCTATTGTGGGCTGTCACGGAGGTCACGTTGCAGTATTGCAGTGCTGGTTGTAAAAGCTTAGTCTGCTGTGTCACATTGCTGTGCTACAGCAAAACTTGCACATCTCTCATCTTTATTAATTGTATAATCGCCTAGGTTGTACGCGCACCCGAGTTTCCTATCAAAACCACTTAGATTTCTTTGTACTAGTCGTATTAATCACCTCCTAACTCATAATGCGGCTCCCCTATTCTCCATTACTTCCACACTTACCAGCTGCATTGAATCGCAGGAATTGACGTCCTGACCTGTTGACGCATGTGTACTTACTGGCTAGCTGTGTTAAATTGTGGGAAGAGAAATCTAGATCAGTTGATGCATGCACAGAAAAACTTAATTTCCTGTAATTCCAATGCTGGTCAGCAAGTACACATGGCACGACGAGTCAGGACGCATCGAATCACTGGAAGCATAGTTTTGACCCATCACCGCATGCGCACTAACCGACTGCAATGATGAAATAACCATGCGCACTTAAGTTGAATTACACATGCGCAGTGTAGATTATTGATTAAATTGCATTTTACACATCATACTAGTTTGCCTGCAACTTTGCGTAAGGCTTATTAAATGTTATGGTCACCTCCCCCTGGCTTGGCGTTGTGCATTACTGTTAAGTGCTCTGGGACGCTACCCTGTGTGAGGGGTGCTATATAAATATACGTTGTTGTTGCAATAAGATATATAAGTTTTACTATACTGTACTGGCATTGTGGGAAACCAGTATCTGCATTAACTATCCCCTATGAGCTTTATAGAATCTTATTTAGCTATTGGACACCATAAGGTATGCTAAGTGTATGTACTGTTACTGGGATACTCGGTAACAATCATTTCCTTTTTCTAGATAATACAATTTACATTTATAAAGTGCCTTTCATGGTGGGAGGACAATTAATAACACTATTATCTATTTGTTTTGAACATTGTTAAACTTTCAGTGTTGACGTTTAACTGCTTGGGATGTACTTAATGCAAGCATATTATAATAAAGTACTATACCTTTGAGGGTACAACCTTGTAGAAGTTGTAAGTGTGCTTCCTGATGCAATAATGATTTTACTTCAATATCAACCTATCTTGGCTGGACGAGTTCTAATATAGGTTATAATAATAAGAATAATCCTTATATACTAATAATAATCCTTGCATTTGATATAGCGCTTTTCACGTCTTCTAGATGTCTCAAAGTGCTTCACAGAATATGCTGTAAAGTGAATTGACAGTATATTTGTGGGCGAAACGCGGCAGCCAATTGCGCACAGCAGTGTCCCACAAACAGTCGTGGATTGAAAATGATCAATTTATTTTTGTTTTTGGAGGGATTATTATTAGACGTGTGGAGTAAAGAAACTTGCCCAAGGTTTCGGCCTGCCTGGAATTGAACCCAGGTGTCTTGCTTGCAAGGCGAGTGCTCTAATCACTGAGCTACAGGACTCCACATCCTTGCATTTGATATAGCGCTACATCATGTCTTCAAGGTTAATAATTTTACTGTATTGAACAGAATTTAAATCTTAAGTTTTACATAATATGCACAGCCATGAAGATGTTAGAGCGAGGCATAATTTTGGGCATGTGCTGAACAATTAAAGACATTTGATTATGGATGGGATAATTAGCGGTGATTTTGATTTCTAACATTGCCCAACTGCTGATTGTTCACAAGGTCCACTGATATTAGTTTAAAAAACACATTTTGAACTTAAGATAGTAGGTCCAATCTTACTGAGAATATTTTTGAACCTTGAAGTTAAAGTTGATCCACTTGGCTGTTAGTTCTATGAAAAACGTCAAGGCTCGAGATCAGCAATTTATTTTGCTACAGTAAAGTAAGTAGCAGTCTAACTGAAAGGTCACAACTGCACAGAATGTACAGTATTCTATCACAATATTACAGTAATCTTTCCCACATCCGGTCCCTGACCAGGATTGCCTTCCTCTACCTCCACATATTGCCCACCTCCGCACATTGCCCACCTCCGAGCGTAATTTACCCCAGATGCAGCCGAAGCACTCATCCATGCATTCGTCACCTCCCGATTCGACTTCTCAAATGCTCTCTTTGCCAGTCTCTCCAGCTCCACCATGCACAGGATCCAGATGATCCAAACTGCTGCCTGCATACTCACCCGTACCACCATCACGCCAGTTCTAGCCAGGCTCCAGTTGCTCCCTGGAGCCGAACGGATCATTTCAAGATCTTCACACTTGTTTTCAAATCCTTTCATGCCCTGGCTCCTCTCCGTCCTGCTTACCCCCAACCCACTAACTGCTGCCTCCCTCAACTGGCTCCGGTTTTCTGCATGTTCCTTGTGCCCTCCATTCCACCATCGGTGACTGTGCTTTCAGCCACTACGCCCCGAAACTCTAGAACACTCTTCCTCTATCCCACCGATTTGCCCCTTCCTTCCCAATCTTCAGGTCACATCTGAAAACCTTCCTCTTCGATCGTGCCTACAATCTTCAGGTCATGCCTGAAAACCCACCTCTTCTGACCATCCCTAACTGTCAAGCAGTCTGGGATGCTAACCTGTGAGGGGTGCTATACAAGTGCATGTTGTTGTTGTTATGCTGTTGATAATGGGACCCTTTGCTTATGCACCAATTCATTCCCATTGTACTAATAGAAAACTTGTTTATTGGAGCGGTATAAACTAGTTTCTTACTTTATAGGCACAGCATGTGGTTAACTCTGCTTATGTGGTTAAAGCAACTTATCCACTAATGGATTTAGCAGTGTAATTGCATTAGATGAGATCTTCCCTATAAGGCATTCTGGTAGTCATACAAAACATTGTTCTCTTAACTGGATAAGTGGGCACAAGAGCAGAGTTTAAAAAAAAGTTTTTTAAAGTTATTTTGATGAACTGGCATGAAAGGACTGAGCCATTGGTATTTTCATTCAGTACACCCAGTTCTAAGGAACTCATAGGATGGATTTGAAACTTTCTTGGAGGTGGGAAGCAGAAGTTTGTAAATGCAAATGTCTCTGGGAGTGACAATTATCCAGGCATAAATCCAACATTTTATTGATTTTAAAAAAACATTGTGGGCATTGGATAATATGAGCTGCATGAAATGGTGTTCAAGATCATCTAAGCAAAATCACATGATATCCAATTAAGGAAATCAAATGATATGAGCTATTCAATAAGTTATAACATTTGTTATACTATTTGAAGTTTAGAGGTCCTTCATTCAAGAGGATATTAATGCATTGCAGAATGTTCAGAGAACAACCAAAGATGTTTTTGGAACTTGGGGTTTTACGTTGTGAGGAGAGACTCAAGGTGAATTTGTTTTTAAAAATAGAGGCGTTTTAGATTTAAGCAAACTATTTTGATAAATGGACAATGAGCCTGGGATCTAGATTTAGGTTTCAAATGAATAAGATTTACGTAACTATTATGTTAAATATTTCCACAAGGTTTATAGATATGTGAAATAGACAGAAGAAAAAGTAAAAGCTTGGTTGATTTCACTTCTTAGATGGATGTGAATAAATACATGGGGATTCCATTAAAGGTTATAGGGAAATGGAAAAACTGAGATGATCAAATAGTTAATGGGGAACAATGATTATTGTTATCATTGGATTGAGGTGAGCAGGGAAATGAGGTCTATGAAATCCAGGCATGGAGATGGATGAATATTATGGAGTTTTGCTCGATTACCTTTGGGAATCGGTGAATCATTACGCAGAGCTTCATCTTAGGAGATTGGGTTGATTTTTATGACTGAATAGATGTAGGTGAAGAGTGGACTTCGACTAACTATCCTTTCTTCATTTAATACATTGAACTCTGGATCAGTATTTTACATTTATTTTTCTAAAAACT